GGGAGGAAGGGTAAAGTAAAAAGTATGAGACCTCGGGTCGCAATGCTTATCAAAAGCCGGACTCACTCGGGTAGAAGAGAATATGGAAAGTAGTAAATGACAGACCGTATGATTTCAAACTAAAACTCAACTGTTTTTATTGCATTTTTCAATCGTATGGTTAAATACAAAGTTATTTTGGTTATACAGTTAATACGTGTATAAAAGTATGTTTTTATAAAGTTATACAATGCTTAAGTATAAATGTTTGGTATCAATAAAAAGGTAATGTTAATATCAATGATAATGTGTATATAATGTAATTGTAATTAATGGTAATTATGATTAAAATACATAAAACATCGTTAAATTAAATGTTGCAAATAGTGGTTAAATATCGTTTGCAGATGTGTTGAGAATGTGGTATTAATTAGCACTTAGGCGTAAGAAAGGGTTAGAAATGAAAGTTTAAGCTATACATGAAATTCTTAGAAAACAATGAATTGAAAATAATGGTAAAAATAGAGATAATCATTCTTCGATGTCTTATAGCTGATCCAATACATGCAAATCCTCACAATTTAACTATTTTTTTCTGTTTTTCAGAGGCCCAATGGACGACTATACAATGTCTATTTTTACTCATTTTAATTCCACAAAATTATACTTTTAAAAGACTTTTGACTCCAATTTCAAATGTATTTAACTTTGATATGTAGTAAACTAACCATAATTTAAATTGTATTTAAATTAAATATAATTTGAATAATTAAATTTTATTTGTTGGAGTAATTTGCAAATAAAATCAACAAAAATAATGTATAACTAGTGATTCAGTAGTGCTGTAACAGTATTGATAAAAATTGTGAACTAAACGTTCGTGAAAAATGGTTTTGGGGAGAAACTCAGCAGAGGGTCGATAGAAGTGGGTTTCACAACATATTGAAATAAACTAATATATTGTTTATAATCAATATACATTAACTTGTAGGGAATAATAACAAAATGCAAAAAATTAAGTATAAGTTCTAACCAAGCTAATTCACGCCACGATTATCTGACTTGATGTGATAAATCAAGTAATTTCACGATTCATATCAAATTGATATTATCAATATTATTGTACACTGTATAATATTTACGATTGTTAAACATTCTCTAATATAGAATCTATACAATGATTATTTTATTTTATTTATGATTAAAAATTTTAAATAAAAACATTTTAATATAAATTATAACAATTAAAAAATTGTTTAAAAAATGTTTGTAAAATATTCAACGAATAGCAAGATATAAGACTATAGACTGGAGAGCAGTAATTTGAAATAAAGACTATTTCGATCGGATACATCGCAGAATAGCTACCAAGTGTTGCTATATCTAGAACTTTAGTCAATAAGGTTCTAACTCCTGTTGGATATAGAGCCATTACACAGGAGTCGATACCTATTCCTTCACCACTAGTTTTACCCGCGGTTTGGTGTTCTCACTGTAAGGGATGTGGCAATCGATGAGAAGACTCGGGTTCCGGATGTGGAGTACCGACAGATCTGTTTGACAGACACTATCAATGATGACATTCTGACACATTTCCCGGAATGCCATCAATTTATAGGAGAGGGACAACGGGTGGGACAGACAGTGTTAGTGCACTGTCGCCTCGGTATCTCTCGCAGTGCCACAGTTGTGATCAGCTATTTGATGGTTTTCTGACACATTTCCCGGAATGCCATCAATTTATAGGAGAGGGACAACGGGTGGGACAGACAGTGTTAGTGCACTGTCGCCTCGGTATCTCTCGCAGTGCCACAGTTGTGATCAGCTATTTGATGGTCAAGTATGGTATCAATTCAAATGAGGCCATTCGTCGGGTCCGCAAACAGCGGCCAAATGTCAAACCAAACCCTTATTTCAAAGAACAGTTGGAACTCTTCGGAGAAATGGGAAACGTTTTCAATTCAATGAATCAGAAATTTCGTCGTTTTTTACTCAAACGCTGGGTATTTGTTTGGCAGAAGAAACTATTGACCACTCAAACAGAGGCAGACATGTCTATCGTAGAGAAGTACTTCAACGTCGCTAATCCCGGACCACAGGCATCTCTCGGCACTCCCTATCGGTGTCGCACTTGTTCTCAACAACTCTTCAACGAAATACATGTCGTCAAAGATCTTGGACTCAATAACTCTCGTTATGTCTGTAACCAAATCTATACAGAACCGCAACAATGGATGAGCGTTTCTGACACATTTCCCGGAATGCCATCAATTTATAGGAGAGGGACAACGGGTGGGACAGACAGTGTTAGTGCACTGTCGCCTCGGTATCTCTCGCAGTGCCACAGTTGTGATCAGCTATTTGATGGTTAAGTATGGCATCAATTCAAATGAGGCCATTCGTCGGGTCCGCAAACAGCGGTCAAATGTCAAACCAAACCCTTATTTCAAAGAACAGTTGGAACTCTTCGGCGAAATGGGAAACGTTTTCAATTCACTGAATCAGAAATTTCGTCGTTTTTTACTCAAACGCTGGGTATTTGTTTGGCAAAAGAAACTATTGACCAATCAAACAGAGGCAGACATGTCTATCGTAGACAAGTACTTCAACATTGCTAATCCCGGACCACAGGCTTCTCTCGGCACACCCTATCGGTGTCGCACTTGTTCTCAACAACTCTTCAACGAAATACATGTCGTCAAAGATCTTGGACTCAATAACTCTCGTTATGTCTGTAACCAAATCTATACAGAACCGCAACAATGGATGAGCGAACAGATCTATGCGACCACTAGTGGTCACATATTGTGTCCAAATTGTAAGCGCAATATTGGACACTATGATTGGCAAAACTCATTTTGTAAATGTATTTTGCATTCAAAATGCACACCTTATTTGGTTTACAGCTTTGCGACAAATGAGTTGAGCTCTTAAAATCAACATAAACTTGTCCGCAATCATACACATGTAGGTATCGAATCTTCTCATATACAATGGTATACTTCCCAATAGTATACAATTTACATACTATTATGTATATTAAAAATTGCAACAATCTTAACTATATTGTAATCTTGATTTGAAATGAGTTTGTTATACCACATAAAAACATTTTAAATTGTGTATAATTAATGCTATTATAAAATCCATTGCCACTATATTAATACCACTGTATTAGCACTATTCGTAAATTATATAGGAATCATGGAATTACTTTTAAATTTCAATTGTATTTTAATGTTTGTCAATAAAATATTAATACAAAATATTATAATCAATAAAATAAGATGACAAACAATGATTTTAAAAGATTTATAAATTATGAAATTTCAGTAACTATTCAGATATTGATTTGAATAATGTTTTGTCAAATTAAAACATCAAAACCTTTATTTCGTATCTGATTTGGTTTTTGTCGATTTGCTTTTGATTTTCAATTTTTTCTTTTTGTTACGATTTCGCTGTTGTTTTCTCCGTTGTTTCACTTTTCTTGCATCTGAAACACGCTTTTTATCGATTAAATTCTTGTCAATGGTTTCACTTCCAGTTCCTGTACTCGACTGGTCATCAGTTTTGGTCATATTATTACGCTTTTCATTATTACTGTTCATTGCGTTCGTAGGGATAGTATTAGAAAACTTTTTGAGTTTTGCCACAAAAAATCCGTCCGTATTGTGTGAATGCGGATAAAACCGTCGCGTATATGACATCGTTGGATGGAAACGTAGTTCTCTATAACTAAATACAAATATTACCGTAAATAAAAAATATACTATCATCAATGTATTGATCACTTACTGCGTAAAACCTTCCCGACCAAAATCAACACCAATGGGCACGAGCTTTACGTTACGTTTCTTAAGGGCATAATCAATAACCCATTCATTTTCTTCCACCTATCAGTACATAATATAAAGTAATCATTAAAATTATGTTTACAATTACAGTATATAATATGCAATCCTTTTAAAAGGGGAGAGAGAGAGAGAGAGAGAGAGAGGGGGGGGGAAATCTTATAATCAAAATACTTTATAATAATTATCTGAGAGAGAGAGAGAGAGAGAGAGAGGAGAGAGAGAGCATACCAATACAGAACATGTAGAGTAGACGAGATAACCGCCAGTTTTGGAATTGGCGTCTAAAGAATCAATTGCGGCCACAATTAATTCTTTCTGCAAATGAGCACATCTTTGGATGTCTACTGATTCCTGTTGTCAGTCAATGAAAGACAGACCGTTAGATAAGGCAAATACATACCCATTAATTGACAATTATTTGTTGTTATATAATTCAATAATAAAATGTGTTTAACGAATGCTATAAAATTGATTCAATGTTTTAATAGTAAAATGGATGAAAACATACTTTACTAGTCTTGACAATGGGATCCTTAGCGATAACACCGGTGCCACTGCAGGGGGCGTCACAAAGAACTCGATCGAAACCAGTCATAATCTTAGGATAGGCGCGGCCGTCATAATTGCTGACCACAGCGTTCACAACACCCAATCGGTGAAGATTTGCAACCAATGCTTTGCAGCGGTCTTTGTTGGCTTCGTTGGCAAAAACAATGCCCGTATTCTTCATGACAGCCGATATGTGAGTAGTTTTACCTCCCGGTGCGGCACATAAGTCAAGGACCTTCTCGTTCTGCTGTGGGGCCAAAGCCATGACAGGGAGAAGAGAGGCGGCGCCCTGAAGCATGTAATGCCCGGCCAGGTATTGTGGTGTCGCTCCGATCGGTACTTGACTGTCATAGACTACAAGTCCGACGCGCGACCACTTGGCTATAGGGTCCACATTAACGCCGATATTAATCAAAGCTTGTGCTAAATCGCGCCGTCGGGTCTTCAAAGTGTTGGTGCGTAAAGTGAGCGGTCGGTGAACTTCA